ATCGTTAATATAACACATGCTGTGATGGGTAGGTTTAGGTGTGGGGTAGTCTCATATTACGCTAAAATATTTATGACGACTTGGGTTCGCGTGTTATATTAACAATAAAGGGTGCCATGGGCGTAGTATTGCGCCGTTTTGTCATATAGAGTTCTATGTGATGCTAAAGGATGAGAACGGGCTGGTCTATAGAGGGAATGCATTGACACGTGACTTTCCCGCGTGACAACCCCCCTCAGCCTGACCGAGTGGCAAAAGATCTGCTGCGTGACTGGATTTAATAGGGGAAAACTGCGGAAATGCGACTAAATCGAACAATTTTATCAATTTAAACTAGATTTGGACTCAATATAGTGTTCCTTACAACTTACTAAAGATCCAGTGATCCATGGATATTGACATGCAGCCAGGAATTGTGTTGCCTGACATTTATGTTTTCCTGATTTCGACACCGGGGAAATAAAAGCAAGACCTAAACATAAAGCAAATTTGCCTGTGAACGCTTTATATAATATAGGTAGGTCTAAATCCGGGTGATCACTTATATCAGTGTTATATATAGCCTATATACAGTATATCATCATATCGCCCAGCCCTAAAACTTTATACGTTTTTTTGGTCAGTGTTTATTAAAAAAAAACATCCAATAATGCAGAATATGCAATGATAAATATTTAATTGATGAGCTGTTAATAACAATACAAAATATATGGGTATGGTTTCATGCCTAAATTCAGCATATTGACACAAAATGATAACGGCAAATCCACCTTTCGCTGACTGGAGTCCAGTTGTTTCTGTGAATTGCTACGATCCATTTGCTCCTCTTTCCATAGCAGTCTGTAAAAATATACCTCGGATGTTTTGTCAAATCTAGTTGTAGGCCTACAGTCAATCGCAAAGCTCTTTCCCACTTTATTTGTGTGTGTTGTGTTTGTTTTTCGCGGTATTCACGCTGAACACATATACAGCCGCTCAGTCTTTTTGCCACTCACTGTGAGGAACTGCAGGCACGCCGGCCGACGGTGACGTCACACGCATTCCCTCTATTATGTGCACACTTCAGAATCTCGCCGGAAGTACTGAGTCATCCATGTACTTTTTTGCCAACACTTTTATGAGTAGGCCCTACTATGAAATTAGACATAGGCCTACTACTTTTGTCACATACTGCTTTTCGCCTACTACTGTATATTAGGGATGTACGTGATTTTGTATGCAGGCCTTGTGTTTTCTTTCCTGGGCTGGTTTGTGTTGTATCCCTAATCAAATTCTTCCAGTTTGAATCTTACCCATTTTCCCTGTTGTGTTTATTGATGTTTTTTTTTATTCACCCTACCATGGGACTTTTTTCCCAGCCCAGCTGGCTGGCGAACAAAATTATCACCTTTAGATCAAGCAATAAAAAGGCAAAAAACATTTTAGCTTAATTTTTTTAGAATGTGTACTAATAATTTCACTCACAATAAGACCAGGAACTTGCTTTAAGAAAGTAACTTGCTTTATTTAGGTTCTGTTCCGTTCTATTTATCATCTAAGTATGAAGAAACAAGTTCAAATTTAAACCTCTATTTTTATTGCACAGTTTGCACATTAACAATACTGGGAACATAAGATTTGAAATTGAATGAACTCACTTTAACAAAGGAGTAATTCAGGACAGTATTAAAACAGCAAATAGTGTATGTTGACACAGAGGAGCATAATTTAAACATATTAAAAAGTGGGCAAGACAGTCAGACGCTCTGGGAAATCTCATGGGGAAATATAATTCCAAATGCAGATCCCATATTAATCCTACTAATCAGAGAGGGAAGTGTTGTGTTTGCCCATAGTTCTCTCAGTATGTTGTCACTCTGGTACATATTGCATTCAGTAGGTTCCACAATTCACAATTCACAATACACAATTCCCTGTGTCCCTCTACCTGCACATTTATACCCTCCATTTACGGCACTGGGACTCTATATCCCCAATTCACATCAAATATCCCTTGTGAGATGAGTGCAGACAAACAAATGAAGAATAAATAAAGCAGTGTTACAAATGTCAGCTTGTGCTTTCAGCAGCGTCACATGGGAGCAAAAAAAGCTCCAAAATAATGAGACATTATGAGCAAGTGCAGTTTATCTCAGTGCGCACAGGAGCGTGAATCAAACCTCTCGGTTTCCTGCGAACTTCTAAAGGTTTATTGGAGAACATGGATCAGATTGTCAAGGTCTCACCCAGAGGACTGGGTCATTTTACCTCTAGGTCACAATTGTGTTTCTGTCAGGTTAAAAATAATACACCTCAATCTGCCGAGTGTAAGACCATAGAGTCTTGGATATGTTAACCTCATTTTATACAAAATACAGTTTACGACATGCTGATATGGTAAAATACACAGTTCTTTAATGGTAAAATACACAGTTTTGCAGATGCATTTGGGTAATTTGGAGAATGCAAATGCAAGTTGTCTATTTTATATATTGTTTTTTTAATATTCAGTGATGGTTAATAAATAATTTAATATTCAGGGTGCAGCTTATTTTTACAGACTGTCTGGAAAGCTTTGTTTATAAAACACAGTAGTTGGCACAGTGAATAGACTTACTGATAAAATAATCACAGTTTGCAAGATTAGTGACCTCATATCTTAAAAAAAGAAAAAAAAAACATATTCAGAGTTTTGTTTGAGACTGCCTCACCATTATACAGATTAGTTTATTCCATTTCAGTGCAGTATAATAGTTTTTAAAAAAAAATTATTTAATATAACTTAATTTAATTTAAATAACTTAATTTAATTTATTTGCAAAAACTACACAATTATTACATTTTGACCAAACTTTAAAAATATAATTTTTTTTATGAATCGTTCCTAAGATCAGGAATGTGTTTTAAATCAATTATGTAAATTATGTCTTTATATATATATATATATATATATATATATATATATATATATATATATATATATATATATATATATACTGTATATATATATATTGTTATGAACCCAGTATGGGTTATATTTGGGTGTTGTGTGTGTTCTTTCTGTTTGGTTTACAGGAGGGAATTGGAGTGAGTGACGTCATTGACTGAGGAGTTGCACCTGTGTTGGAGCTGATGCCGGCAGTTAAAAGCAGTTCCTTTCAGCTGTGACGGGGCGTGCTCTTCCATCCTCATGCCATTTGCGTTTTGAAGTCTTTATTGTTGTTTTCCGTTTTGTCCTTTTTTTTATTTAATTATTCTTACTTTAATAAATGTTATTCTTTTGAGCAAGTATCCAACGTGTTGTCTCCTTCGTTGTCACGGCTTGCGAGGCGGCCGTGACAAGTGGGGGCTCGTCCGCTCGTTTGTTAGATCTTTTAAAATTCCTGTTATTTGTCGACCTGATTTGAAAGCGTTTTGGTTGCGTTCGGTTATTTTGTAATGAACTTGACACGTTCATTAACTGAACGTAAAATTGGAAGAAATGTTGTTTGAACGCTATTGTTTGGGAGGTCGGATTCGTCGGGTGAAGGAAATGCGCGTTGGATTTGTTTTGACAACGGAGAGTGTAGAGTGCTGTATCTGTTTCATGCTGTTTTGTAGGAGCTTGAGGTAAGTGTTTTTTTTACAGATCCTGTTGTAGGAGGAATATTTAACAATATTTGTGTTCCCTGGTTAGGTTTAGCTGCTCGTTCCCTTTTGGAACGAGTGGATGTGAGGTAATTTTTTTTTTTTTTTGTGTGGCGACCGTGAGTAGAGCAGTTGTCTCGGGTGCATATCCATGGTATGAGTGAGTCGCCAGCGTGCTGGTTGCTTTTCTTTGTACTAGTGGGAGTTGGTGCTTAAAATACCCCTCACCAGTAACCACATGAAGATTTTAGGGTTGAGTTAGTTAAATTTTTAGAGGGAACTATTTTATTCCTCCTGCTCTGGTTTGTAAAAAGACATTTTTTTTTCTAGTTATAATTCTAGGTGGAAAAATGTCTAACGTTAATTTAGTCAAAGAGTTTATTAGTTCTCCTTCTGGAAGTTTGCTTGATTCGTGTACAAAAGATCAGTTATTCGAGATTGCGGATCATTACAAAATTGAACTTGGAGATAAGAGGTTAAAGGATAGTACAATTAGAGAGGTAGTAAAATCAAAACTGATAAAAAAGGCCGTATTGGCTGAGTTGTCCGATACAGCTACCACCTCTCAAGTTAAACCTCATGTCAGCTCTCTAACTTTTGAACAACAGGAACGATTATTGTTGTTGCAGCTTGAACAGGAACGTTTGAAATTGGAAGTAGAGCGTGAGAAAACTAGAAATGAACAGACTAATGTTGAGCTGCAGAGAGGTCGCTTGGGAATGATGAGGCAAAGTGGACTAAATAGTTCAACTGATGATTTGCAGGGTGCTCAAGTGTTTGATACTGCTGGAAATTTAAGGTTGATGCCGAAGTTTAACGAGCGAGACCCAGATATTTTTTTTATATTGTTTGAGCGAATAGCAGAGGCAAAAGGTTGGCCCAGTGAGGAACGTACCATGCTTTTACAATGTGTACTTACAGGCAGGGCTCAAGAAGTTTTTCTGCCCTGTCACTCTCGGACTGCAGCGATTACGATATCGTTAAAGCGGCGGTTTTAAAAGCTTATGAGTTGGTACCAGAAGCTTATCGACAAAAATTTAGAACGTTGTGTAAGGGTGAAAAGGAGGCTCATGTGGTGTTTGCTAGAGAGCTCACTACTGCATTTAATCGATGGTGTATGGCATCTGAGGTAACCACGTTTGAAGAGTTGTCTAACTTAATTGTGCTTGAACAGTTTAAGAACTCTGTACCTGCTCGTATAGCAACATACATAAATGAGCAGAAAGCTGAAACAACTGCTAAAGCTGCTGAGTTGGCTGATGATTATATTTTAACGCACAAGAGTAGTTTTGAGTTTCGGAAAAGAGATGATACTTTTGAAGATAGATTAGATCATATGCCCAGGGATTCATCTCTGATCTGTAATTACTGTCGTGGTAAAGGCCATTGGAAAAATGAGTGCCCTGTGCTTAAAAGTAAGAGTAAAGGAGGAAAGGGTCTTTGTGTTAAACCAGCAGGCTTTTGTGGCACCATTGTTGAATTCTGTCAGCCTGTCTTCTGAAGGATCTCCTAGAGCAGTTAACCAGTTAAAGGATGGAGATTATGCACCTTTTATTTCTTATGGGCACGTGTCGCTGGTTGGCAAAGAGACAAATGTTCCAGTAACGATACTGAGGGACACGGGAGCATCAGAGTCTTTTATTTTGCAGGATGTGCTGCCATTTTCCTCTGTGAGTGATACCGAGACTAGTGTCCTTATTAGAGGAATTGGGTTAAATATCCTATCTGTCCCATTACATAAAATTAGGTTGTCATCTGAACTTGTGAATGGAGAAGTGGTGGTTGGAGTGCGTCCATCGTTACCAGTGGAGGGGGTGGATATCATCCTGGGAAATAATTTGGCAGGGGGGAGGGTTTGGCCTGTTACCTTTTCACCTCCTGTGGTTTCATCTTTTCCTCTCCCAGGTCCTGATGAGAGCAACAAGAGTTTTCCACAGGTATTTACTGCTTGTGCTGTAACTCGATCCATGACCTCTGCACAGCCAAGGTTAACATCTGATTTTTTGGATGGACCAGCATTTTCCTTGCCTGATGATTTCTCTGTTTCCTCTTCTGATTTGATACAGGAGCAGAAACTTGATCCTTCTCTCCATACATTGTTTGAGAGTTTGATGTCTCCTGATGAAATTAGGCATGTTGCTCAAGGTTATTTTTTGCAGGATGGAATGTTGGTGAGGAAGTGGATTCCTCATGGAAGTGACTTTGCTGGCGATCCTATCTTGCAGGTGGTAGTTCCAGAGAAATATCGATCATTGGTGTTGGAGAGTTCCCATGATAAATTTGCTGGACATTTTGGGGTAAGAAAGACTTATGACAGAATCCTTCGTCATTTTTTTTGGCCTAAATTGAAGAAGGATGTGTCTCAATATATCAAGACGTGTCATACCTGTCAACTAATAGGCAAGCCCAATCAGAAGATCAAACCTGCTCCATTGTTTCCGATACCTGCTGTTAGTTCACCTTTTGAGCACTTGATTATTGACTGTGTAGGCCCACTGCCTAGATCAAAATCAGGTAGCATTTTATTTGCTCACTGTGATGTGTGCATCGACTCGGTACCCTGCGGCCCTATCCCCTCCGTACGATCACTGCCAAATCGGTTGTGAAGGCCTTGACTCAATTCATTTCTATCTTTGGCATCCCAAAGATTGTGCAAAGTGATCGAGGTTCTAATTTTACGTCTCATTTGTTTTCGCAGGTTTTGAGACTGTTGCATATTAAGCACAATAAATCTAGTGCTTATCATGCTCAAAGTCAAGGGGCATTGGAACGGTTCCATCAGACGCTGAAGTCCCTGCTGCGTGCTTATTGTACAGAACTGGGGGGTGATTGGGAGCAGGGATTGCCGTGGTTGATGTTGTCAGCACGTGAGGTGAGCCAGGAAAGTACTCGTTTTAGTCCCAATGATTTGGTGTTTGGACACACCGTTCGGGGACCGTTAGCTGTGCTCCGCGATAACTGGACTGAAGGTACACCGCCTCAGAATTTGTTAAGTTACGTAAGTGACTTTAAGCGGAGATTGTATGAAGCGGGTAGGATGGCAAGAGAACAATTGTGTTCCTCGCAGGGACGTATGAAGACACTTTACGATCGGCGAACTGAGAAACGACAATTTATGCCTGGTGATCAAGTGCTGGCCGTACGTAGTGGTGAAACAAATTACGGACTTAAACTATCTTATTGCCACCCCGGAGAGAAGGAAGTCAAAACAATTGTGTCACATTAATTTGCTGAAGCCCTATTATTGTCGTTCTCCTAAAGCATTAGAGACCAGAGCAGATGTGAAACCTGCACTGGTAGTTGAGAGTACTTCACCTGTTCCTTTGGAGGGAGAAGTTGATGATGGGGTTTCTTTTCCTGAGGATACGGTGTTGTTGGGACATCTTAAAAATTCGGAGACTCTGAAAAATTTGCATAAAATGTTGATCCATTTAACAGAGAGTGAATGTACCGACTTGATTGCTCTTATTAATCATCACGACTCTCTATTTGGTGATGTACCTTCATGTACACATTGGGCAGTGCACGATATAGATGTTGGGGATGCTGTGCCCATTCGCCAGCATTTTTTATCGTGTGTCCCCAAATAAATTCTTACATCTGGCCGCTGAAGTTCAATATATGCTGGATCATGACATTGCACGGCCATCATTTTCCAGCTGGGCATCCCCCTGCTTGCTTGTAAGTAAATCTGATGGAACTTACCGGTTTTGTACCGATTATAGGAAGGTAAATAAAGTGACGAAACCAGACTCCTTTCCACTTCCTCGTCTTGAGGATTGTGTTGATCGGGTTGGGGCAGCAAAATTTGTGAGTAAGTTCGATCTGCTCAAGGGTTATTGGCAGGTTCCGTTGACCCCAAGGGCTCAGGAGATCTCTTCCTTTATTACATCTGAGGGGCTATTTTCTTATAATGTTATGAGTTTTGGTCTCAGAAATGCGCCTGCAACGTTTCAGCGACTTATGAATAGGGTCGTTTCTGGATTGGAGGGAGTCGCGGTTTACTTAGATGATGTGGTGTTTTTAGTGATTCATGGGAGCAGCACATGAGTCATATAGCACATCTGTTCTCCCGTTTTGTTGAGGCTGGTTTGACCGTCAATTTAGCCAAATGTGAGTTTGCCAAGGCTACTGTGACTTATTTGGGTAAGGTCGTTGGACAGGGTTGTGTTCGTCCAGTTCGGGCCAAGGTTGAGGCCATTGATCTTTTTCCTTCTCCTTCCACCAAAAAGGAATTGATGCGTTTTTTGGGTTAGTGGGTTACTACCGGGATTTTGTAGGAATTTTTCCACGGTGGTAGCCCCACTCACTGATTTGCTGAAGGCCAAAGCTGATTTTATCTGGACTTCGGTCTGTCAGGAAGCTTTTGAGTCAGCTAAATCATTGCTTACCTCTGCTCCCGTGTTAGCGGCTCCTAAATTTGATCGCCCTTTTAAGTTGTGTGTGGATGCTAGCAACGTAGGGGCGGGAGCTGTACTGTTACAAGCTGACGATGAGGGGATTCCCCGTTCTGTGAGTTATTTTTCGAAGAAGTTTTCCTCTTATCAGTTGAATTATTCAGTAATTGAGAAAGAGGCCTTAGCGCTGATTTGGGCCCTGCATCATTTCGAAGTGTATGTGGGATCCGTGTCAGATTCTTTGGTCGTATATACTGACCACAACCCACTTACTTATTTACACTCTTTGCGGTGCCCAAATCAGCGTTTGACTCGTTGGTGCCTCTTCCTGCAGTCCTACGCCCTTGAAATTCGACACATCAAAGGTACTGACAATGTGGTGGCAGACGCATTGTCTAGAGTTCCTCACTCTTTCTAACTGTTTATGAACAAGGCTTTTGTCTTGCTTTCCTTTTACTCTCTTAAATTGCTTCTACAAAGGTTCGTGGTTGCTGAGGACAATTGGGGGTAAGATGAAGTTGGTGTTATACCAGTAATGTGCGGAGTATCGGGTGAAGGGTTTAGGTTGGGTTTTTTAAAGGTAAACCCTTTTCTAAGGGGAGGGTGTTATGAACCCAGTATGGGTTATATTTGGGTGTGTGTGTGTTCTTTCTGTTTGGTTTACAGGAGGGAATTGGAGTGAGTGACGTCATTGACTGAGGAGTTGCACCTGTGTTGGAGCTGATGCCGGCAGTTAAAAGCAGTTCCTTTCAGCTGTGACGGGGCGTGCTCTTCCATCCTCATGCCATTTGCGTTTGAAGTCTTAATGTTGTTTTTTCCGTTTTGTCCTTGTTTTTTTAATTTATTTTAATATAATATGTTATTCTTTTGAGCAAGTATCCAACGTGTTGTC